TTCTTGCTTATCCTCTCCTGTGCTGCCCTGGAAGATGAATTGGGAAAATACAAGTTAGGAACCTGGTAACTTTTTTTCCAGGAATCTTCCAGGGCAGCAGGGACTCCCGCCCTGCTTGTTGAGGGGTGTGTTCAACATGTTTTTTTTTTTTTCTTTTTTATTTACTAGTGGTCCTTCCGCCTTCGGTTCTTTTGTAATACTGAGGTGGTTGGGCGACGCTGCCCCTTTTTATTTTAATTGTGGATGATTTGTTTCCTGTTTTAGGTGGGAGGATCCTCCGGTGCTACTGTGGAAGATTCCTGGAAAAGAAGTTACCAGGTACCTAACTTGTATCTTTTTTTTTTTTTTCTTTCCACATGATTGGATATTTGAAGCAAATCATACTTGACTTTGGTAAATCACTTTCCAGCCATGTCTTCTGGGCCCTTGATGCGGTAACTTAGGCTAATATTATATGGACTATTATGGTTTACCGTTAGCAGTATTTTGTGGGGTTTTTTGTTTTTAATATGTGGTTATCCTTGTTCTCAGGTGCCGAAAGAGAAAGATGAGATGGTGGAACAAGAATTTAACCGTTTGTTGGAAGCTACCTCCTACCTCAGCCATCAGCTAGACTTTAATGTTCTTAATAACAAACCTGTGTCACTAGGTCAGGCATTGGAGGTGGTTATACAGTAAGCATGATTGTTTTCTTTTAGATAACTGTTATGTACGTACTTATTTTATGTATGTGTCATGGAGCATATTTTATATGTGATGAGGGGTTGTTTTTGTACGTGTGGTATCTATGTTTGGCAGCTTTTTCTGTTCATGTTTGTAAGTAATTTTTTTTCTATTTAAGACTTCAAGAGAAACATGTGAAAGATGAACAGATTGAGCATTGGAAAAAAATTGTGAAAACTCAAGAAGAATTAAAAGAATTGTTAAATAAGGTAGGCATTGACTTTTTTTTATTTTTATTTATAATTGCTTAAAGTGTAACTCTATGCTGAGGTTTTTGAGGGTTCTTTTTGGGATGGAAAAGCGGGTAGCTGAGAACGACCTCTTTTCCATCCAGAGGTTTTATTCATGTGGCCTTGTTCTGGAGATTTTTCACTAATTTCAATGATGAAAACAAACTCTGACCTTAATAAAAAGCTGCAATACTAGCTTACTTTACGCTACTACTGATGTCTGTCTCCCTTTATCTCCTGTCCAGGTGATGAGGGGAATATCTAGCACTGAACAGTAACATTTACAGGTTCTCTAACCCCTCTACCCTTACATCCAAAACTTTAAAACGGGCAACTAAAGCCTGTTAAAAAAAATGCTTGTTATATATAAAACCATTATACACATAAAGACCACTGCATTGAAGTGACACTAAACTCAGGACTCCAATCTTAAAAATACATTCAAGTACCTATTAACAAAAATGTATCTTATTTGTGTATTACTCAGCTGATCCTCAAATCATCTCTGAATTTGTGCTGACACTGTCCTTCCTTCTGGAGGGTGGCTGCTTTTGTTCCCCATGGTCCCTGTGTGTGTTGTAAAGTAGCTACCACTCCAAGCTCGCTTCTGTGATGGACTACAATCTCATGTTTAGTTTACTAATTTGTATTGAGATTGTAGTCCATCACGGGAGTGAGCTTGGAGCGGTGAATACTTTACATTTTTACTTTACTTTACAATGCATTTTTAAGATTTAACTCCGGAGTTTAGTGTCACTTTTAAAATGTATTGCTGTAGTATAAAATTGAACGCAGACCTGCTATATTTGTGCAGGATATTATATTTATTGAATATTTATTTTTGGAGCTTCCATGGCAATGTTGCCAGAATAGATTGAGGAACAGTTGACCGGTGTTGCTCGGATTAGAGCACAGACATTGTTTTACCTGTCTCATGGTCTCTCGTGACTTTATCCCTGTAGCGTCTAAGGAGAAAACTGTGGCAGTAATGGTTTCCTTTCCCTTTTAAAAAAAAAAAAAAAAAGGGACAATAATATATAAAAGCTCAAAGGTTCACAAAAACGTACTTTTATTATGGCACGTCTAACACTTTTCAAATTGCGTTTGGTTCAGGGGGTTGCTGCGTTTTGGTAGTCAAGATACAAAATAGACGTCACACTATACTTGTTTTCATTTAACAGATGGTGAATTTAAAAGAAAAAATAAAGGAGCTTCATCAGCAATATAAGGAAGCTTCAGAAGTAAAGCCTCCCAGAGACATCACTGCTGAGTTTTTAGTGAAAAGCAAGCACCGAGATCTAACAGTCCTCTGCAAGGTATACGTTACATGCATACATTTAAGTCTATTGCTTTAGTCCCTTGGAGTAAATTGTCTAATGTTACTTTTACTTTTGGAACTAGGATTATGATCTGTTAGCGGAGGCACAAGCAAAACTTGAAGAAAAACTGCAAGAACTTGAAGCCAACCCTCCAAGGTATTTTCTGCTGTAAACATTTGCGCTCAGCTGGCCAGTGAGCAGCTTCCTTTAGATCCTTTCATTCTTTTATATTTCCGCATATTATTTTTATTTTTTTTGTTCTTTCAGCGATGTTTACTTGTCCTCCCGGGACAGACAGATACTTGACTGGCACTTTGCAAATTTAGAGTTTGCTAATGCAACGCCTTTGTCTACACTTTCCCTAAAGCATTGGGACCAGGTAAGCCATCCTGAAGATGGCTGCATTTTTGTCACCTGTCTGCTCTATATTAATCAACCCTAACCATCCTTCTCTTTTACTAGGATGACGATTTTGAATTTACTGGCAGTCATTTAACTGTTCGGAATGGCTATTCCTGTGTTCCAGTGGCATTGGCAGAAGGGCTGGATATCAAGTTGAATACAGCTGTCCGGCAAGTGCGATACACTGCTTCTGGTATGTATTGTTTAGCAACCTTTGTGGACTTAGAAGTAAAAAAAATGTACATGATGTGAGGTATACACTCTACTTGTTAATATTAAAATGATATTTAATAAATGAGGGTTATGAACAACCAAATAGACTCTAATATTGTCTGGCTTGTGTAAGTTCTCTAATCACCAGTGTGGGACAGACTTATTCTCAGATTGTTAATTTGAGACATTGGATGTAAAGTCCTGCCTTTTAGGCACTGGTTATTCAGCTGTGCCTTACAGTTTGTAGGAGGTAGACACTGTTGGGCCTCCATTGAAAAGAGATCCTTTGTTCAATGGTTGGCATAAAAGACGTATGTGGTAGAAGGGTTTTTTTTGGGGGGGGGGTTGGCACCACATAAGAAAAAGGTGATTTTTTTTTTCTCTCTCTAAAGTGTGTGTGTGTGTGTGTGTGTGTGTGTGTGTGTGTGTGTGTATATGTGGATGAGTGAGTATAGAAACACACACACACCCACCCCTGCTGGCAAGCTTATCAGAAAGACCTTCTGCTTAGTGCTTATGTGACCATTTGTCACACAGCATTGTTTCTGAATAATGAGGTTGAATTTGTGCATATTACATTGAAATTGGTTTCAGGTTATATGGTCAGTAATATATTTTTCTTGCTTATAGGATGTGAAGTGATAGCTGTGAACACCCGCTCTACTAGTCAAACATTCATTTATAAGTGTGATGCCGTCCTCTGCACTCTGCCTCTTGGCGTATTGAAACAACAACCTCCCGCCGTTCAGTTTGTTCCTCCACTGCCAGAATGGAAGACCTCTGCTGTTCAAAGAATGGGTTTTGGAAATCTAAATAAGGTAGGTGCTCAGTAAGCACAAGGTTGGACAAGCTAACGTATCATGGAGAACAAATACACGTTTAGTTGTGATATGCGGGTTGTGATATTTCTCCCCTTCCTTTTGTAATGTATATCATTCTTTGTTTTATTTTCAGGTGGTACTCTGTTTTGACAGAGTATTTTGGGACCCCACTGTGAATTTATTTGGTCATGTAGGCAGTACAACTGCCAGCAGAGGTGAACTTTTCCTATTTTGGAATCTTTATAAAGGTAATATATTTTTCATTTGATATTTTCATACATTTGTTTTTATTTTCTAAATTTAGCAGATGACATTAAGTCTGTTTTTATGTCATTTTGTAAACACAAAATCATATTTTGAACTGCTTCAGGACCGCCCACTGTAAAAAAACTATCTGTTTTGAAGTGGTTATACCAAGAACACGGTTGCTTCTGCAGCCGTGTTCTTGGTATCATTTTATACAGCAGGTGGTTTTGCTGTTTAAATACAAGCAATCCGACGGCTGTACAACAGTCAGATCGCTTGTACGATGTGGTGCTGAGTGCCCTCCCTTACTCCGCCGCCGGCTTCCCTGTTCTCCACTGTCCCCCGTGTGCGGGCCCAGGACCGGCATGGTAGGTCTTCCCTGACTAATCGGAGGGAGATCAGGTGTGCTTCCAGCCGCTGATCTCTCCTCCGATCACTGGACCTGGAAGTGGTGTATTACATCACGTCCGGTGTCACTGTTTACATTCTCCGCCTCTTTAGAGTCTGGAGAAACAAATTTAAAAAATAATGTGTTGTATCTTAAAAATACTAGTTTGATCAACATTTGTGCAAAAACAATGTGACATAAAAAATTGCAACTAGGATTTTTTTTATTCTATAAGGGCTCTGCTTTCAGAAAATATATAATTGTTTGTTGGGTCTGCAGCTGTTTTCTAGCCAAAAATTCAGATTTTATCATGTGTGCGCAAATAGTAAGACATTTCTCCGTGCAGCAAGTGGTTAATGTTTGCCTGAAGGTAATCCTTGATGCAATGTTTACATGCTTGCTGGTCAATATGTCCATTTCCACTGCTTTGTAAATTCTACTTCTATTATTATTATTAAGGATTTATGTAGCGCCAACTACTTCTAGTGGATACCTGTATACCAGACATGCAATGATTTACCTTTTATGAACAACTGCTGAGGAAAAAATCTATATTTCTACAGCTTGTGTAATTTAGTCAGTGTAAGCAGCTTTATGTAGACATATCATTGTTGGTTTACATGAATAAACCGGGCACATATATCAGCAAAACCAATGCACATTTTCTGTAACCTACTTCAGTAAGCAGATTTTAGTACCTTTTGTCCTGCATAAACAAAATGCTGTTCTTCAGCTTGCACCTTTGGTCCACTTTGGTTCCTTCACTCTTTCACCTTTCACCTCTCACCTCTCCAATATATCGTATTATGTTGAGCCATTTGTAAATAGGTTTGTTCATGTTAAGCATCCAAATCTTATGAGTGGTGATGCTGTAAGGAAAATATCAGGCATTGCGTATGAAAATGCTGCAATGCAGACTTTTTCTGCGCTAGTGAGATCCTGTATAATATTTAATACACAAGGATTTCCAAAACACAGGACTCGTCCAAAAATACTTCAACATGCCCAGGGCTGATGTTAGTGAAGGATATCTGTAAAAGAGAACTCTAGGTGCTTTCATTGCAGATCCCCTTCTGAAAATGCTATTGCCTGGCTCTAATGCTTTTGATACTTTTTAACCTAGGGCAAGACCATATCAGGGTTTCAAAGCTTTTTTTTTTTTTTACTTAAACCAGATTGGTCACCATGAAATTGAGCACAGCAGATTCGCTGCCTTGTTGTCGACAAGGCAACGAACATGTAAAAAAATAAAAGGGTTAGAAATGGCAATGTATTCATTTCTCTTGTCCATTGAGGGCAATACTTCAGGTTATACTGCCGCCGATGGGAGGATTGCACACTGGCAAACCACAAACCCTGAAGGCCAGCCAAGCATAACTCTATCAACGTGCCTTTTTTGCTACTGTTCTAAAACAATGGACGTCTATTCTGCTGCTCTGTTGTGTTGAAGGTGAAGTTTGGTGAGCATTTTTTTTTTCTAGAAGCGGCCTATTTCCACTGTGGAACTGCCAGTGTCCTACCTGAACAAGGCACTTACTATTCTGGTTGAGGACATGCCTGTCTTTAGGGACTCGACTGATAAGTGTTTGGAAGCCCATTTTAGACCTGTGGGTCCTGCACTTTATCTGATTCTGGCTATAACCATACTTTGTCAAAATCCCTTAGGAGATCTGACTGCTGCTGTGATTGATCTTTGCTTATAGAATATGTGGAGCAGATGGCCATTTGAACCAAAAGGGACATTCCTTTCTCACCCACAAGGTTGTGTTTTTTGTAGCCATCACCTCTGTGAGGAGTGTCTGAAGTGGTGGCCTTATCCTGCAAGGAATCCTTTTTGATTTTTGCATATGTGTAAGGTGTTGAGGCCCAGGGCTTCCTTCTTGACTAAGGTAGCTTCTGCCTTTCACTTTAACTATTCCTCTGCCCAGCTGCAGTTCACTAAAAATAAATTTCCCTCTATTGGCTGCATGTCGTTCAGGTAGTGAGAGTCTGTCTCTCAGCCACTGCCTCTTTCAGGAAGACTTATTTCCTTTTTGTTGTTCCAGATGTACCCATAAGGGTACACTGGCTTCTCGTTTCACCATCTCTAGATCGCGCAAACAGGCCATCATCCAGGCTCGTGGTCTCAAGGATCAGGTTCAACCCTTTCCTGCCAAAGTGCATTCTGCGAAGTCTGTGAGTGCTTCTTGGGATTTTGAGGATCAAGCAACTGTTTCCCAGATTTGCAAGGCTGCCACCTGGTCTGTTTACACATTCTGTAAGTTCTATAAGGTGGATGTTTCTGCCTAATCTGATGCCAACTTTGGGCATTTTTGAGCTGCTGGCATTCCCCAGTTCTCTTTTGGCATATTGAGCCTTCTAGCATTTGTTTGCTGTGTTATGAATGTTCCAAAGTTTGAAGACATCCGGTGTTCTACAATTGATGAGAGAAAATTGGGTTTTTGTACTCGCCATAGAGTCCATTGAGAGACGCAGGTCCCCACCTCCTGTGCTTTTGATTGTTCTCGGCACTGCTTTGCCATAAAATGTAGAGGCATTCTGGTAGTGGGAGGGGTTATCCTTGGCTGGCCTACCCTTTTTTTTTTGGCCAGTGTCCAATTCTTCTGTAGGCAGCAGTATAACCCAAAGATCAAAGACTTCTTGAGTCACTTAAAGGAGACCTATGAGTTGAGTGCTTTTCACTCGCCTCCTAGTTCTAGCCGACCTGTGAATAGATAGGCAGAGCCAGCTGTCACTCACGCAGCTGGGCGGATCCGGCACAATTGTTGGGATCCGCTTTAGCTGCGGCGTCTCAGTATACCGTGAGCAGTAGCGTTCATTAAAAAGTGTTCATTAACTATTAATCCATCCATTGTTCTTCCTTGTCCTTAACCATACTAAATAAGATAAATTGTTTTTTGTTTTGACAGCACCAATACTTCTGGCCTTAGTAGCAGGAGAAGCCGCTGGAATCATGGAAAATATCAGTGATGATGTTATAGTCGGACGTTGTTTAGCCATTCTCAAAGGAATATTTGGAAGTAGTGCCGTTCCACAGGTATGTGTTCCATAACCAGATATGTTGGTATTTGTTTGTGGTATGTGTAAAATTATATACACCTTCTCATGTAAGCAACAGCTTGACTACAAGCATCCAAATTTAAGCGATGAACCATAACAAAAATACAGTTTTTTATCTTAACTGTTTTTGTTTTTCCTGCCAATGTGAAAAACAGTACTTTAATATCACTAGTTGGCTGGAATTTGTATTTTGTGTAAGGCCTGGTTCACACCTGAACGTTTTGTAGCGCGTTCAACGCTCGACAAACGCTCTATAAAACGCTCAAACATCTAAATCCCATTGTATTCAATGGGTCTGGTTCACACCTTGCCGTATTTCCGCCCGTCCGAACGCGATACAAAACGGCCTACGCCCAAAGAAGTACATGTACTTCTTTGGGGCGTTTTGGTCTTGCGTTTCCATTGGGATACAGCCAAGTAACCCTCGGAAACGGGCGTTTGTCACGGTAAAAACGCGCGACAAACGCGCATATTCAATACACCTAGGTGTGAACCCAGCCTAAGTGATCTTATTAGTTTGAAGAATTTGCTTTTTAAAGCAAAAAAGTTCCATTGCCAGCTCCTTGTAATAGAGAAGGTAGTATAATCAACTTTTCAATAGTCATGCCTCCTACCTCAACCTTGTTGCAGCTCTGCAGCCTTTAGAAGACCTTTTGAAGAACAAATAGAAGAGGAAGAAGCGCTACAAGCAAGTGATTAATTGTGGGTATTAATACAGATGGACTTGATTTGGATGGGCTGGGGGTAATGGCTTTGCTGATGTCGTGGTTGGTTGTGCCTATTTAGTCTTCAGGATGGTGTTGATGTAAGACAAGGTACAAGTAAACTTGGAGAAGTGAAATATAGAGACTCAATTCGTTTGCAACTCCTTGGTGAGTCTCTATATTCTATAGTCTCTTTATTTCACTTATCCTAGTTTACTTGTACCATCATTATTTCCCTCACTTTGGCTTACATCAACACCATCCGGAAGGCGAAATAGGCACCACAACCAACCACTGACAACAATCGAACAGTCATTACCACCAGCCCATGAAAATCAAGTCCATCTGTATTAATACCCACAATTAATCACTTGCTTGTAGCGCTTCTTCCTCTTCTATTTGTTCTTCAAAAGGTCTTCTAAAATTTTACGCAGTGCTTTACATGCATTCACATGAGTCCCTGCCCTCAAGCGGCTTACAATCTCTAAGGTCCCTATCTCACATGCATACAGGCACAATTTAGACAGGAGCCAATTTAACCTTTGAGCGTGGCTTTAAAGTCTGGTAGGTAACCGTAGTATCCAGAGGAAACCCACCACTCTTATTTACTCTGCCATTGACTCTGAGGGCCCATTCACACTTTAGGGCTTGTTCCCACCGAAAGCGTGTGCGTTCCAGAGCGGTAGCTGCTGGAACGCAACGCGATCGCTAAGAAACCTCTCTCGCGTTTTGGGGCGAGGCGGTGCATTGAATTCACTTTACCAGCTTTGCGTTCCACTGCAAAGGAAAAAAATTGGGCTTGCTCTATTTTTTGCGTTTGCAGTGGAACGCAACGCTGGCAAAGTTTTGCCACGCATTCGATTCGCACTGCGGGCGGGGGCCGTGGAAGCGGTGCCATTGAATTCAATGCACCGCCATACCCCCTCCAAAACGCGGGGAGATGTTTCTTAGCGATCGCGGTGCGTTCCAGCAGCTACCACTCTGCAACACACCCGCTTTCGGTGTGAACAAGGCCTAAGCATTGGTTTGCGTTAATGCATGCATGTTGGGGCACGTTTTAAGATGTGTTGTGTTAAGGCAGCCCATTCATTTGGAATGGGCTTCCAATGCACCACAATGGATGAAAAAGTGGATGTGACTCTTTAAAAACACAGCACCCTCATGCTAAACTGGACAATATGTTGGGGTTATTCACAATGAATGGCACCGCTCATAGAGCAGATGCTTTTGTGGTAACAATGCACAAGTGTAAATGGGCACTTGGTATATAGTTGGAGGCAGTTGACAGGGCAGCAATTATCAAGACTTCAGGAAACCAGTGGTCCCCAACTTTAAACCTGGAAATGTACTAAACAATAAGCAAGCTTTATTTAGGAACAAATAAAAACTTTACATAATCCTCAGGAGCTATTATTTTTAAAACCTAATACTCCAGATTCTTGCATAAATGGAGGTGTGACGGGTTGAGATCACATGGAACATTAACCTTTTCGTTTTTTATTATAATTATGTCTAGCCAAAGGAAACTGTTGTGAGCCGGTGGCGTGCTGATCCTTGGGCCCGTGGTTCCTACTCTTATGTAGCAGCTGGTTCTTCTGGGAATGATTATGATTTAATGGCTCAACCAATTACTCCAGGTCCTGCTATTCCTGGAGCACCTCAGGTGAGTTATCACAATGAAAGTTGCACTTTGTGTACTCCAGTATTTTTTTCTTTCCAAGCACATCCGATACATTCCTTTCATGTAGCACTTTTTTTTACATGCAACCTTCTGTGGCAGTGTTTAAAATCATATAATGAATATGCCACCAATCAAATAAGTCTATATAGGAAAACGCCTTTAAGTGCATGTGATGTGCATGCAATGTGGGGAAATGTGCCATACCTCCTGAGCACTATTCTAACTAGGAGCAAGTTTACAAATGCTGAAAGTGTCGAGTGTCAGATTTTTTTTTTCCATCAATGTCAATAGTTTTAAATAGGAAATAAAGTATAGCAAATATATAGTATATTTAATGACATTTCTCAGCTTGCAGCAGAGGTCGTAATGGATGCCCTGATTGCCAGCTATGAGTATGACCTACATTGCCCCTTTTTTTTTTTTCCTTCACATCTTAGTGTGGCTACAGGTGGGCAGGTAAAGCTCCATACCAAAGCCATGTCTTTCTGCTATTCTCACTTGATGACAGTGGCGCATGCATAGTACTACATCCCTCTACATAGAATTGAAGGACCAGGTGTGCTCAGCTTGGATAACTTCTCTCTGTGATGAGCACCTCCAAACATTAAAGCTGGCCATACACTTTACAACCCTCGCAAAACTTTTGTCTTGCGAGGGTTGTAAAGTAATTTAAAAAAACGTACGATCTGCCAGTGGATGAAATTAAGAATGAATGGTATGTAGTCCCATAGTTACTGCAGTACAAGAGTTTGAACCTGGCCTTGAGGAGAACTATGGGGTTAGGGCTTTTCCCCATAGTTCTCCTTAGGGTAACGGGAGGACACAAACTAGGGTCCTCCCGTCACCCTAAGCTCAGTATAGGTCGCGGTATACTGAGATGCTGAAGCGGATCCCTACAATTATGTCTGGATCAGCCCAGCTGCGAGAGTGACAGCTGGCTCTGCCTATCTAGAGGCAGAGCCAGCTGTACCCTCCCCCCGTCCGTTCCGCCAGTCAGCGCTGGCGGAGGGGGGAATACAGCCCCTGTCACGGCAGTGACAGGATTGAGAGGTGAGCGAACGCCGGTATGTGTTCGCTCACCTCCCAATCTACTGAGCTGACCTGTAACAGTCTCATTGTCACAGGTCGGCTAGAACTATGAGGTGAGTGAAAAGCACTCACTTCATAGTTCTCCTTTTTTTTTTTAAGGCGTTTTTTTTTCCCCTAAGGGCAAGGCTGAACTGGAGAATTCCCAGACTGGAGGGTGTTCAACAGGATTGTATGTTTGGTTAATGTGGGAAGGGGGGGGTTGAGAAAACTATGTACTGTAAATGGCTACATCTAGTCAGATGACTTTTTTGTTAAGCCATTTTAAACTTGTACTAGTCTGTCCACCCTATCTAACTGTAGCATGATCAGGCAGGGGAGGATAGAAGAGAATGGCTTAACTATGAGGGATGTTGTAAAAACAGATAGATACCTGTAAAATAAAAGAGATGGAAAGATGTCTTAAACTTGACAATAGAATGTAGTTGATACCCTTAACTATGTGTCAGCCCGGCATTCCACAGACTGTACCTGATAACAATGTGACTTTGTCTTTTTTTGTTCTGTAGCCTATCCCTCGCTTGTTCTTTGCTGGTGAGCACACCATCCGGAATTATCCAGCAACTGTTCACGGGGCTCTCCTGAGCGGTTTGAGAGAGGCAGGCCGTATTGCTGATCAGTTCCTTGGTGTCATGTACAATATACCTCGTCAACCCACCACTGGGGGTCCTGCACCAACCATGTAGTTCACTTTAGAAGGATATTCTATTAATTTTGAATCTGGACTGGATTTCTCCATTTGAACACCCCTATTTATGGCTGCTGAAGTATTTCAAACCAAACTGATCATCAAAGTATTAATGGATTTGTTACTTCCAACTGTTTTGTACAACCACAACATTAAATGCTAGTGTTAATTTTGTCAGATCATTGCTATTCTTTAACACTAGTAGATACATTTTGGATCCCAAATTATGCCCATAAATGTTTAAACAAACATTCTGGCATTGATTACTGTGCTTTTTTCTTTGTTTTTGGACCTGTTTTTTTGTTTTTTGTTTCCTTTTTGTAGCGAATTGTGTAGTAACTGTCTGATCAAGTATTTTTATATTAAAGCTCTTTATAAATAATATAGATTTGCCTTTTTTTCCCTCTGGGAATGCACAACAGAAAATACAGAGACAATAACATTTAATTGGGTTCATAATTTGGGGAAACAATGATATTAGGACTCCAGTCCTAGTATTTCTTCAGTTATCTGTTTTTTTTTTTTAAAGTTGCCTGATATCTGTCTTTATTTAATTGTGAATGGGAAAATGTGAACAGTCCATGTCCCTATCACTTGCTGCAAACTTCATTACATTACAAGCTCTGATAAAATGGGGTCTTTTTATAGGGAGTCATCCCCAGAACAGCTCTGGGCAAAAGTTGTTTTGACCAGAGCTGTGTGGGGTCACCCCCCCCCCCATACTGCAAAGGTTCACTGCTAGTTTTGGTCTAGGGAGGAAAATAAGTTATACTCACCCGATTCTCCGAGCTAGCTGGCTGTAACAGCCCGTCGTCCTCCACTGCAGCAGTGGCATGTCACCCGGTGTCCTCACGTCCTATACGCATAGTTTATAGAACAGGGGACACTGTACCCCCGAACTGGTTACTTTTGGCCCGCCGATAGTGGGGTAGAGCTGGCCCTTCTTTACCCAAAAGTCATTCCGACCCCGCTCCTCTCGCACACGCCTCACAAGAAGAGGCGGCACATGGTCTGCTTGAAACCTGCTTGTATTTCAACTACAGTTGTGGCGCCAGCGGCTCTAATGACCAGTGAATGCTGTAGGCCTGCGCACACCTTTTAAATGAGTACAACAGGTTTGGCATTGCTGAATTTATTAACAGCCTGGGTATATGAGGAGCAAGACAGTGGAGTGACTAGCAGCTTGCAGCACGGTGTTCCTGGGATCGCTTCTGCTTGGAATATTGTTTGGAGTTTGCATGAGGAATTATAACCTTTGTAAACTAAAAAACAAAACCTGAAGCCTGCTTCCTTGTATGCTGCTGAAATAATTTTAGGTCTCAAGGAGTCCTGCTAAAATTAATACATTGGGGGTCAGGGGACACCCCCCCCCCCCCTTTGGTGGTCAGTGGAAAGTATGCCCCCCCTTGCATCAGTGGTAAGAATGCCCCGCTGAACCCCACCTTGCATCGGTGGTCAGTGGAAAGAATGCCCCCCTTTGCCTCGGTGAGCTAAAGCCAAACTTTACAGACAATGAAAAAGATAATTGGTGTCATGCCACTGCACCAAGTGGCACGGGATCTGGCTCTCATGTGCCCCCCCCCCCCATGGAAAAAGATAACGTGCCCTGTAGCCCTCAGGTCATTTGAGTTTGAGACCCCTGGTATAGAACGTGATGACTCGGGGACCTTACACCACTGGAAAGGCAGGTCTAAGAGAAAACCGGCTTTTAAAAAAAAATGTATATGGCCTTGACCAAAACAAGCCGTTAACCCTTGCAGTACGGGGTGGCCCCACTGCAAGGGTTAATCAAAAAATGTTGCCCAGAGTTCTTAAACTTGATTTAAAGTAACTGTATCACACTATGTGTGCTGATTTTACTTTTTTGTTTATAAAATCCTGGAGTGACTCCCTATAAAAACCTCCAATTTTATCAGAGATGGTAATAAATTGCAGCAAGTAAGAGGGACATGTACTGTTTATACATTTTCCCATTGACAATGGTGCGCTGCCTATTGCTGTATAGCTCTGCAGTGGGGTTGACAGAATTTCCCCTGGTGGCACAGCATCTCTGGGCTGCTTTTTTATTTTTTGATCCAACATTGGGGCCCCCTCTTTTTACTGTTGGTCCCAGACTCTAGGAGAGATCATGGCAGAACAACAGGCTTCAACTCTGTAAGATGGACTCAATCAGAACACTGTGCATGGGGCAGAGTTACAAGGAGGAGCTGAGAGGAGATCTGGGGTGTGTGTGGGCTAGGAGTACTGGAGATGTATGGCCAAACAAGCAATAGGACAGCTTTTGACTGTATTGATGAGAATAAAAGTCCTAGCAGGCAGCCTGTGACCCTGTTCGGGTGGGGGGATTTCAAGCCCAGTATGCATGTACCAGTGACCTGAACAGCCCCAGGTTACATGAGAAACACTTGGGCATGCCTAAAGGTAAAGTCAAGGCAAATATATA